AATTGCATATTATTTCATATTCATATCTTCATTTGATACGCCAATGAACCCTGGATTTCTGCGAGTACGACGACCAGGACTCCAACACAATGTTGCCCAATGCGAATGAATGAACGAAAAAGCAACAGCAACAGCAACAGCAACAATATTCGTTGATATTTCGCGCGATATGAATAACATTTCCAACACTTTCTCAAACCATTGACAAGCGTTCCCTGTCCCCTTCCAACGCCGAATCTACAATCGAAGTGTAATAACAAACAGACGCACATTTGGAAATAAGGTATGTCGTCCGGATGAATGGGAATGGTTATGACTGTTGCTATTATTGCTTACGGTGTGAATGAAGCGCACAACGCGTAAAGGAAAGACAACGATGGCGGCGGCGACGACGATGACGATGACGAAGAGTCAGAGTACATGCAAAAACCATACGTAGAAAATGTTTGACGAATTATCATAAGCGAACGTGCAATGAAATGATGCTGTGTGAAGTGTGAGAGCGTGAGAGACTCTCAACACCATCATCATGTTTAGCACCTTCTTCACTTCATCGAGCCACCTTTTTGTGACCATTAATTTTATTCGGTCTGGTATAAAACAACAAAACATTTGTTAATGCATTTTGAAATGTAGAAAAGCAAACCGAAAAGCGAACGACTAAAAATGAGCACTCGACACGTTCGCCGTCTTCGTCGTGCATGACCAAAAAAAAGTTCGCTGCGAAACGAAAAGTTTTTCTTATTCGTGTGTGTGTGTGTGTGTGTGTGTGTGTGTGTGTGTGTGAGTGAGTGTCAGCCACGTGCGAACGAACCGAACAACATCATCAGTCGATTCGAACCAGAATAGTACGCATTCGCACGCATTAAAATCCTTTATTGGATTTTTGACGAGTAGATTTCGAAAGTTTATTATTGTTTTATCCATTGTGGGGTTTTTTGCCATTCGACACACAATTCGATATTCTCGCGCCATTCGTTCTCCCATTCAAATGGCGCTATCATTCAATGGTTTTTTGTCTCTTCGCACCCTATCTCTCTCACTGTGTGTGCGTGCTTTTTTTATTCGCACAGACACTTCCATAAAAACAATAACTTAATTTCATGCTAAAAATATTGAATCGTGTTTGCCCAACCAAATCCTTTTCGCCAAGACATTGATAAATAAATGTAATGAACGCAGAAGAAGAAGAAGAAGAAGAAGAAGAAGAAGGAGAAGCAAATTTTTAATCATTCCGAAGGCAAAATTAATTTATATTTGTGTACATTTCGCCAAAGGCGAAGTGAGAGTATGTGTGGGATGTGCACGAATGGCTTTATTCCATTAGATCGTTCGCATGCAAAAAAGGACACGATGGGTTTCATTCGTTTATTTTTTTTTCCGGAATGCGTGTAAATCGCGAGTGTGTGTGTGTGTACATATGCGTTCCAAGTGATTAATACACTTTGAGCACCAACTAATTGAGTTCATGAAATGGAAATTGATCGATGTCGTCATTGTGCCATTTTGTCGTGTAATTTACGACTCACTAAAGTGATTGCCATAAAAACGACGCCCATTTCGTATTATTTACATGAAAATTGATCTGATTCGCACGCTATCACTTCAAATTGAGGTTTATAAAGTTTAATTTAATAAGTTCTGCTGGGCACGGATAACATGAATGAGACTGAAACGGAAAGAGCGGCCGGGACGATGGTGTGAGTGAGCTGGGCAAAGCGCACGCTATTGCAGATTGACCCCATGCAAATGACATGTTCAAGAGGAGCAAAGTGTGTCTTTATCGCAATTTTGTTTGTGCATCGCAACGAGATACACACACGGCCACACGACTACAACAAAAATTATAATAAAACAAAATTGGCATTAATACATTCTGAATAATAAGAGATGATGATGCTGGTGCTGCTGCAGTCCTTGCAATAATGTATTTTGTTTTTTGTTTTTGGGCTATCTGCGTTCAATCCCATTTTTTTTTGCTAAACTCTTTCAATGAGAGCAACGCGCGAATTGTGCGCACAATTTCGTTATTTTTGTTTTTTTGCTTGAGTTTATTCTTTTTTGTGTCATTGCTTCATGATTCAGCAAACATGATTTAACCTACACTCGAGCGGATGCATCGAACGAAAATTGGTTTTTCTGTCAAGCCCAGCAACAAAATAACCAATTCAATTATCGGCTTTCGACGAACGAAACTACCCTATCAATCACGTCCGATTTACGTCGAACCGATTTTTTTTCCTCGCCGAATGTTTCGTCGCTTTCTTGTGAGTTTTTTTTTGTGCCGTCTCTGTTGTTTGTGTTGTTATTTTCTTCGATGCATAGAAAAATAACAATAACAAAAAAAATCAGTAGCCGTATTTGCTAATCGTAATCATCATTCGATCCGCCGAACCAAAATATGATGCGGAGAATCAAAAGTGAACCGCATTTTTAATATGACAGCTTTATCGAAGAAGTTGAACAACATCAAAATTGAATAAATGGCGTCGACACTTCTAATCTTAGGCGTTTGATCAAAACCGCAACATGTCACTAAAGCTACCAAATTTGCGATTCTAATTAGTTCGCGCGCGGAGATTTGTTTGCCAAGTTCTATGGCCTATTCCGAAAAGTAAAAAAATTGTTTTTTTTTTCTCTACTGCTCGGACCCAACCACAACCCGATGTAACTGACCTTATATGATGCGAAATTTTTTCAACAATTATCGCTTGTATTTGTACACGAACTTGAAAAAAAAAGAATAAAAATAAACCATATAATTTCAATAACATTTTTTTTTGTCGACGTCGTGCCCACATCACATCGCATCACACTTTCAAACCCAGAAAAACATCCCTGAAATGGTGTGTATTTTAACAATGAGTTCATTGAAAATGTGTCGATTTTGTTTGTTCTTCAATTCGTTATGCGCGATTCGATATTGGCTTCAATATGTTCATTCCATCCAATTCCTATGGTAATTTCCTTTCACATCGGTGTTTATACTAGGAAAAAGGCAGTTCCCGTTGTTTACTTATCAATGATTGACGAAAGTGGGAGAGGCAGGAAGAGAGAGAGAGAGAAAAAATTGTTGTCGCGACAAATTCACAAAATCAATATTTAAATAATAACATTTCGAATATTGAGATATGATTCTGCTCCTCAAAACCACGCATAAAACGGGAGCTGATCATCGCAGATGATGAAATGATTGAATAAAAAAGAGCGAATCATGTCATGGTTGATATTATACAGCAATAAAATGGCTTTTTTTCCTCCAAAACCAACAAGCAAACATACAGACACAGTGAAAAAAAACATAAACACAAGCAATAAATATTTCATATGTCACACAGTTTTCATTGTAACTTTGTAGTTGTCATTTGGTTGAGACAATGTTTTGGATTGTAAAAATGATGATAGATAGCGGGAGAGCTGGAGAGGTGGAGACTGAGAGATCAGAGGCAAACGAAAAAGTGGCAAACAGATGGATACAGCAACAAACGGCCTGAAGATGATACGATTGTGTTCTCCTTTCGCATGTGTCAGGTACAAAAGGCGCAACAGTGTTATTCAGTTGCCATGCATGCCGCAAAAAGAGCACTGTTACATTTAAGGGAAAAAAATGAAAAGAGAGAAAGAGTGAGAAAAAATAGCAGAGAAGAAGAGTGAGCAGTAAATGATCCATTAGAACGACATCATACAATTTCAAATGTATCTATCAGACATTCCGTGTGACTGCATATCGAGCTGAGCTATTTACAAATAAAATATACGGAATGCCTGGTATCTATTTCACTCTCATCAAAACGAGAATGTGGTTGGTTGGCTCGTTGGCTGCGAGTATGAATTGCCATTCATATATTTTGTGCTCAACCAAGACGTACGTCATGTCATCATTTACATTATATGCTATCGTCACTCGTCGTATTCTTTATAATGAGCTCAAATATGACAATAGAATTGATGTGGTATTGTGGTGGACTCATGTTTTCTCTTTCGCTTGTATCTTGGTTATTTACCCTCCTCCTCACTCCCACCATATTTTTTTTTATGGTAATAAAATAACGGAGTAAATCTGTTGAAGATTTTCGTGGGATCAAGTGCACATGCACAAGAAAATGGCACATAATATGTGGTCAAAATGAGTGCGTGCGTGTGTATACATTTGTGTCGGCTTACATCTATAATCACACCTCCCCCGGTTTCGTTTGAATTTCAATTCCAATGAATGTCAAGAGTCAAAATATGTTCATATTACAATGAGATCAATCGAATGTCTTCGGCTTAATCGAGCATTTGTACTTAGATTTATATATAGTTGTGTGCAGTGGTGGTGGTGATGTTGCTGGTGATAGTGGACGATATAATATGTGATTGGAATTATTCATGGGCTAAATATTCCGAAGTCGAAGCCGATTGCTGACGTTGCATATCAATCAAACGTATAAATCAATTATGTTCCAAACCAGAATTATGAGATTACTCTCGGAAGCGTTGTGACATCGGTTGACGTTGTTTTCAATGTTTCATCACCATTCTGCGAGTCAAAAAAAAACTTTTCCCCTTTCAGCAACATTTGCATCAACAGAAATATTGTTGACCGAAACTCGCACATGCACACACACCGAGGGGCAAATCACTCTTAGGTATTACTTTTACATAAATGGTATTACTTGGTATTACTTTCCGTACAAATCAAAAGTAATACCAGGTGTATTACTTCTATTGATCAGTATTACTTGGTATTACTTGGATATTACTTTTTTTCGGTATTACTTTTTTCATAGAAATATCAAAAGTAATACCAGAGGTATTACTAGAAATAACTGAGGTATTACTTTTCTATTTGGTATTACTTTTGAGTGATTTCCCCCTTGACACACACTCACACACAGAGTGTGCAATCTATCTCTCTGGGGGAATAAAAGGTGCATCTGTGCCGCGATTGTTCCCATTTATTTGCTTAGCTAATAATTCTATTTTCACAATGCAAAGCGTTCGTTCAATTTTTGCAGATATCGGACGGAACAGCAAGCTGCTACGGGTTCAAAAGTCAACGTAGATAAGATACGGTCAAAATGGTATTCGTCAATTCAGTAGGCTTCGTCGCTATTACAGTGATTTTATGTACAACTATGTGCAATGGAAAAAACATGTACGATGACATCGACACGAGTGGGCCAGAAGGTAAGCATTGAAAACACAACAACAACAACAACAACAACAGAAACTATGTTTAGTGGCAATTCGTTTCCCTCCCTTGATAGTTTACTCAATAAAACAAACCACACTATTTTATAATTGGCAACTATTTCACCGATATTTGATACGATACAAAGGAAAAAAAAACTGTGTACGATGTAATGAAAATTGCGTAATTTGTAACTGTCGGGAGTAATTTTTGTTTCATTCAAAAATGCATCACAGCCCAAATAGCCAAAAATAACCAAAAGAGCCATCGAATCACTTTCCATAATGATTTGAATATGCGTAGGTTGTGTCTAGAACAAAGTATTCGAAAAATTCATTAGACAAAGCAAAAGAAGAAAAAAAAAACCGACGAAGACGATGCAAATATAAGGCGTGTATGCTTATGAATAGAAAGTTTGAAAAAATCAAATGTCGTTGTTCTATTTTTGATAGAAAACAAGGAACACGAAGCATATAATTCATTCGTAAACATACCACAGAAAATTCAAACGCACACCAATTTCCTATACTACGGAACACAAACCATTTATTTCCAATTATATGCCCGCCATTGTGGGAGAATGCATACGGATAGATGTTGTCTTTGGCTTGAATCACATAGTGTGCTTGTATGTGAGTTGTCGATGTGAATGTTGCCTCGCCGAATCATATGGGAAAGTTTATGAATTATTCTGTTTCAACAATGTTATTTGATATTGTTTGCAAGAAGCGTACTTTTTTCGGTGTGCTCTGTTTCTTTCTGAATGTTTTCAAAGAATAACAACCGAAACGAAAGATAGGATGAATGGCGGAAAAAAGCATCTGTAAACAATGGATAGAAAAATTTAATGAACATCACTGAAGTGTAGTAAAAGTGAGAGAAACGGCAAAAGCGAAATGGCTTTTCATTCCATTTTTATGAAATGTTGGCATGTTTCTTTTGCTTTCGCGACGCGACCAATGAAACTGGAGGGGGAAATAGCCTGTTGTTGTTTTGCCTTTTTGTTGATTTAATCCCTTTTTTTCTCCCATTTAATGTTTATCGATAAATATTTACAGGTTTAGTGGAAGTAAAGCGTCCCGCCTTCTACGCAGGCAGTCGATACGGTCGTTCGAATGGTGGACAATCGGCCAGTTTACGCATCACACCGCGACGTGATTTCCACTTTTTGCGATATGGCAAACGATCTGATCATGATGACAACATCTCACCACCCATCCAGTGCTATGAACCGATTCGAGATTACGTACTGACATGTTCCTTCACGGGCGTTCGGGATTTTTATCGATGCTGGAAAGGGTATGTGTGCTCTTCTTTGTTTCTTCTTGGTTTGCTTCGACAACTCTTAACATCAATTCCTACGCATTTTATTATTTCTTATTCCATTGTTGTGTTTCCTGATTGATTCGATCAATGTATGCCTGTTAAAAACCCAAAACATTCGCATCGTACACACCAGTTAACATTTGACCGCTTCAACTCGCCCTCAATTAATGCAATTAACTCCAAGAGAACTGTGCGAACGTACAACACATGAAAATCAAATAATTGAAAGCATTGGAAAAGTTTTTCGTTGATTTGCTATGACTAGCATAATGCATACGTGTAGCGAAAACGGATCGAAAAGTCATACAATTCTGCGAATACTAAATCTCGATTTGATTGCGTTGCAATCACAGCGGCCACGACGACAGTGAATCGATTTATTTCATGACACTGATTATGTGCCATGACCATTGGATTACGTTGTGATCATATTTTGTGTAGTTTGCACTGTGACGTACATTGTACTTTGAATCGACACTCTCTGTATTGGAATCATCGGCCGATTTCTTCAATTTGTTTCTAGGCATGTCTAGCCAATTGCCTGATTCTAAACTCCATACAAAATGTGTTAAATATGAATTGACCTCTAATAAATATGTTTTTTCTCTCTCTCTCTCTCTCTCTTTTTCTTTCCGTTTGGCTCATTTTTGGTCTTTCTTCTTCTTTTTTTCTTTAGCAGGCAAGAGAATAAGTTCGATGCAGTCGATCAGATTACGTTAAACGCTGAGGATAAAACCAATCAACAGCAATTAATATAAACACTCTCTATCATACACATACACACATTCACACAAACAGCAACAATAAGAACAGCAACAGCAACAAAAACAACAGCAGCAACAACATCCTTCTCATGAGCACTAAATTTCATATAAATATGAATGGAAAATGTTCATGGAAGAAAAGAGAAAGATCGATTTAAATGGAAAACGACCGTTGTCATAGGAAATACATTCTGAAGAATAAATACCATTTGGTTGTTCGGTTGGGCTCATTATAACGGCTGTTGACTACGAACGCAACCGTTATGTTGAGCTTTTTTTGCCCTCTGGTCGCTCTGACTTATGGAAAATGTATGTGGCATTAAATGGTTCTTTCTTTTTCTCTCTCCATCATCTCATCTATTTTCAGAGTAAAAATAAAAAGTTTGTTTGTCCAACATTTATCTTCAAATAAATACTTTTTATAATCACAATAAATTCAATATCGAATTTTGCGTAACACACACACACACACACACATTCACACACTAAAACAATTAAATCATACTTATATTCATAATTCCAAATGTCCAGCTAAAATCGTATAAAGAAAATTGTATTTATAACTGTGCAGATTTTGATTCATTGAGCATATAAATTCCGCATTTTATTCGCCCTCAATCCTCCGCCACCCCCTCATTTCCAATTATCAATCAAATACGAAGCATAAGTTGTAATAATATTCATTTCTGTATTGTGTACATAAATGTAAGTACGATGTGTTTGGCCTGTTTCATTTCATTCAATTTCAGTTTTTTTTTCCTGGTCGGTTTTCGTTCATTCGTTGGTTACTTTTCCGTTTGTGTTTTTTCTTTTCATTTCTGGGTTCACTTCTTTCTGATTGTGTCGTCTCTTTTTTTTCGTTGTGTTTTTATGACTTTGTTTGTACTTTGGCCGAAATGAAATTGAAACCAAATTTGGTGTGTCAGCTGCATCAATTTTCAGTTTCAAGCATGTGAATGAACTTTTGTTTTCGTTGTTTCAAACAAAATGTCATCTAATTGCGTTTTATTTGATTTATTGATTGTCGCCGCAATTTTTTTTCCCCATCCTCCCCATTCAATCTCTCTCTCTCTCTCATTCTCACTCTCTCTATACATATATAATAACTATAAATATATCTGAGCATCTAAACCACCAAAAATGAAATTAAAGTATCAATAAAAGAAAACAAAATAACAATTGCATATTTATTAAGAAAAGGAAACAATTATGATTGTAAAAATAAATCTCTATTATGAATGTTATAAAAAGAAGAAAAAAAAGAACAAATGTTAATTATAGCGAAATAAACAAATGGAACTAATTAAGTAAAGTGCAAATGTATTTTGAAGATGCGGTTTGGACGAATGGCGCGGTTTTGTGTACGGTCAACGCGCCATAAGGATAACGCGCGATAAGAACATGCAGTGTGTGTCTGTGATGGTCGTATGCAACTCAGCTTTCAACGAGACACACACCATTATGCTTACTTACCTATGTCAAATATACGATATAGCGCCAATGCGCATAGGTCATATTTATCTTTGATCAATACTTACGACAATTCGAACGAATTTTTATCATTTCAATTTTATGTTGACGCACGTGGAGTGGGTGTAAAGTGTACACAGTACATGTCCTTTTATCTAAATCCAATTTCACTATCAATATATGTGGTGTCGATAAAAAAAAGGCAGCCAGTTGTCAAGCAAAAGAGAATTCTACCGTACAAATGGATCAATCATTCTTTCATCGCTATCAAGATTGAACAATTCATTTGGCAAAATTGTATTTATCATTTTTGTTACTTTGTTTGCATTTATTCACAATCGCTTCTTTTGATTTTTTCTAGCGTTTTTTTTTTTTTGTTATCATTTTACAATTTATTTTTGTTGTTGTTGTTTTCATTTTTTATAATTCTAATTTGGTGAACACTTCTCGAATTGAAATAGTTAATTTCCTATCTAACAACGACACTTAAAAAATTCAGTTTACAGTTTCGAGTTTGAAATCAAGAAGAAAATAGAAGAAAAAAACAAATTAGACTTATAAAAAAAAGTAAAAGTTTCAGTTTGAAATCGGGTATTTTTCTAAAAACAAAAAGGACACATAAAATAAAATCAAGCTACCTACTACAGCAGTCATACAAACTTTCACTTGCGCACGCTGTAAATGAATGTGTACAATTATTATTTCTGTTTGAACTATGTCGAAAAATGACACAAATATTGCTTCGTCTAGAAGTTTAGTACAAATGTTTCTGTTCTATATACCATGGAAGTCGTTAGCAGGTTACATTCTATTCTCTCACAATTTCTCTGTCACATTTTCTTTTTTGTTTTTAGTTGTCACTTGCAATAATAATGTGTTAATCGATGAACAAATGTCATCGTACGAATGAATTTTGAAATTTATAAAACAAAAAACGAAATGCGTTGAAAACAGTTTTCACAGCCTCTCCAATAAATATTTGACTAATTTATAAGTACCAAACCAGATGAAACCTCCAACGGTAGTCCACATGACGCGTGGCACAAAGCCGCTGAAGATACCTTTAATGCCCTTTTGTCGGTACAGTGATCTCAAAATTCGTAATGGATTCCGATTCTGGATATTGTATTCGGAGCTTGGTTCGAGGTCAGCCAATTGAATGCGTGTTTTGGCCACATCTAACGGTGTTGTTATCGCACTTGCCAAAGCGCCGGCAACCGATCCATCACATGCTTCGACAAAAACTTTTAGATTGCCACTCAGATTTGTTGTTGTAATCGATGTTAATAGTTCCCACGTTGGATACTGAATCATGCTGAACGGGATGTCACGCATGATTGTAATACCGTAACCGCGATAGATGCCATTGAACAAACCATCCGATTTGTATGCATGCATCAGGATATCGATGGCACGATACTGTATTTTACTCACTTGCCGCTTTTGTTTGACTATTTCGATTGGCACTCGGATGAGGCCGGCACATATTTCGCCCAGTGACGCCGCAAATGAATTTATGCCAAATTTGATAAGAAATTTTAGCGCAGCAGATTCGACGGTCGGCTCAGCACCATCACTGGTGAACGTAAACGAATTGATGAAAAACCAATTGATAATGAGCGGTACGAAGTCTTTAACGGTTCCATAGACGAGGAAAAATGTGGCGGCAATTGGTACACTGGCCGCAATCACAGGCAAAATCCCATTGTATATGGAACGAAAGCCACCGGCTTTCCAAAATCCATTTTCACTTTGTAGTCGCGTTTTGCACGTATCGATCGGAAATAGAAATGTGTCGACGGCCAAGCCACAGCAACCGCCGGCAATGAGCTCCATCAAAAATGAATGCTCCTTGAAGAAGTAGTACTCTTCGGATGCTTCCATATTTGTATCGTATATTGAATATCGAGGAAGCACACTACACAACAATCTAGTCACAGAATCTAATGGCTTTCTATATTTATACACTTGGGACACGCGTTTTACTCAAAACGGGGTTATAACATTAATTGTAACGTGTTTAAGTTGTCTATCGTTTCAATTAATATTCGATGATTGAAATGAGTTAGCCGGCGTCACACAATTATCTACTATTTTAATTCAATTGATTCGATGCCTTTTTTCGATTCGCAGACGAATGAGATGAAAAAAAAGCAGAAAAAGTAGACGAATAAGAACAAAGGCAAGCGGCTATGATGCTTTAAAATACACAGACGCTTCCAGTGTGCACACGTTCAATTTCGTAACCGTCGTTCAGTCAGTCAGCACAAAGAAACGACCGTATCAACACAAGCAAACTGTCTCTCAGAGTTTTTTTTCCTTTTTGCACTAATAATAATTGTTCTTTTTTGTAATATTTATTTCAAACTGTTGCAGAAAAACACACGCACACACATTTCGGTCGCCGAGAGAGAATTTTTCCTGTTGTCACCACACACGCGAATCTATTTTTCAGTGATAATTAAAATCTTGCACAAATTATTTGTTAGTCCATCGGATCACGTAGTATAACGTGTGGCCGCCAATATACATCTGTTCTACACTTTGGTTCCATCATTTTGTAATCAGTGCCATACCACTACTCCGCAATCAGTATTTTGAGCGCAAATACTCACAACACCACACTTTTGATAACGAATTCGCTACTCATGTTCTCGTACTCGCTCTTTTTCTTTCTTCCGTTTTTTTTCCTCGTGTTAATTCTCGTATATCGCAGCTATCATGTGGTTGTGCCAATGTTCAAACGCATTCACACTAACACAAAAACACAAAAACACAAGAACATACATAACGACGTAGTACACTCTTGTTTGTTGTCCGTTAATCTGACGATAATAACATATTTAAAATACGTCTACTAATAATTATGATTAGTTTTCCTTTTTTTGGCGCATTGAACCGACCAGCGATTCGATCGACGACTTTGTTGTGGCCCGTTGTAAATTTTCATGTAGTAAACACAATCTCCATCACCACGTTGTTTATTATTGAACGTCTTGATAATTGCTTCCTTTTGCTTACTCGCTTTTTTTTCATATCGTAAATCAATAAATAAATTCTGATTAAATGCAATTCAATTTTTGTCTGGCTGTAGATTTCGAGTCAATGATTGTCCGAAAAAAAAACGAGCGATACAGCGTGTACCAAGAACTATTTACACAACAATTTGCACAATCGATTTGGACGGTGTGTTATCTCCGACAAATGTTCGATTCTCTCTCGCGCGCGCGTTTCTTTCACACACAACAGGAAAATAAAAAGAAGAAGAATTTTCGCCAAGTCGGCGGCACTTGAAATTCTCTCTATCTGCTCTTTTCTTTTGTCCGAAATTTCAACAAGAAGAAGATTATTTCAGTTCGGTTCGTTTTTGTTGTTAAATGTTTTAAAAATAACTCTTGTGTGAGTGAGAGTTTGGTTCAAGACCGATTTAATTCGTATCAATTTGAAACACACTGTATATTAACACGTTCTCTCTCGTTGAATCGGAAACAACGTGCTCAAAACAAAAATAAGAAGCGAGCGAGAGAAGAAAAAAAAATGTGTGATGGCAGCAACAACAAAACGTATTACCAATACAAATGCATTTGACATGTGTCAATATACGGGCGCACACACATTGCATGCGAATGTGTCTGCGCTGTGCAAACGGAAAAAAAATTCACTGTACAAATGATGGCCCGGTGCTTCGGTTTGTGTGCCAGCTACTGAGTTTGTGCAGTACGTTCGTACATGTTTTGTTTCAGAGTTTGAGTCCAATTCCGAATGTTATAGTACTATTCAATGACATAAAACACACGGTCGGCGAAAGAGTCGACATTGAATTTTCAAACTAGAGCCTACGGTTTGTGTGCAATATCAGTATCTATTGTCATCGCTGTCGACCTATCATATTTCTGTAGTTTGGGATGTTGAAACTTATGAAATCAAGATCGTACATCGTTTTTGACGTGCTGACACTCGTCTCCTGCTCAACAGTAGATCAACCCGATTACGGAGGGATATATCTCGATATTCTCTGTTGATTCCCGTAACAAGCGCTCAAACTAAATAACGTTGATAATAAACTATCCTATGGTATGCGATGTAGCCGCGCGGCTACAGCACACCAAATCAGATGATATCTAATACGTTCTAACAAATTTCGTAGAATTCATTTCAAACCACTTGAAAAAAAAATTGTGCGTATTAAGGAACGAGTTTCCCCTTTTATATGACTTTTTTTCATTCTCTTTGTTCATTGATGTTGTCATCTGATTATTTGACCCAACGTAAATGAGACTAGACTGAATTTGATTTGATTCGATTCGATTTATGAATACGAGAGCCAAAAATACGAAGAGCGTTGAACGAATAGATACAAGTGCATTTGTTCTAACCGAAAAAAAAAATTATGACGAGTACGGAGGGGAGAATGAATGAAAACGAATGAAACTGAAGACGCAATATACAGCAAATGTGATGGCGCATTACAAGCGACAAAAAGCACATGGTCTCAGGCGACTGACTCACTTGATGAAAAATCATTCCTATTTCTGATTCTGAATGTTATATATAGCATCGGAATTGGTTTGATGTGAGGTCGCGGGCCCACTCAACACACAAATTTTTTTCAGCTTTCGGCTGTGTGTGTGTGTGTGTGAGTGTGCCTGTGCGAGAAATGTGTCTTCTTTTCACATTGGAGTGCAAATAAATGTCGTCGATTCGATTTATTTCAGTTCATCACACGATATAATGCATCGCATTCACATCATAAAAAATAGATACGAAGAAGACACAGATAATGAACGAACGAATGAACGATCGCATACGTAATTATGATTTCGGCACGCTTCAATGAAACAATCAAATGATCAGGCGAATGAACGTTGCGCAACATAAATGCATGCGATGCATGAGAGTGCAATGGTTCGTTATTGGCTGGCAATTAGCAGAGGTTGCAATGCACGAACTGTAATTGAATGAATTGTATGCTTGAAAGTGAATCTGAACGAATTGAACGATTGAAACATGCTCACAGATGCAAGAGCGAAATATTCTAACTCAAAATCAGCTGAGTAGATGGAGCTAGTGAATGATGTTCCTGTTTCGGCTGCCGAGGCAAATGTCAAAATTATTGATAAAACGAACAGACACCTAATCAGTTTAGGTTATGTTTACATTGTATTTTGAATACAACTGTTTTAGTCACACCTGAACGATAGACGATTTTACTTTGTTTGTTCCCTTCAAATTCACGATGACCGTTCGATAATCGATTGATTTCGCATCGAGATTGAAATTTTACATTTCAATCGTTTTTTTTTTATACCAAAATTATCCAAAGTACAAGATAATCAATACTGAAATCGTAAATCATGTCGCTGGAAGATGCGAATGGAAAAGTGTCGGCAAAGAATTATCTCTACCTCACATCGCTGATATCGGGCGGAATGGCTGGTTTGGTGGTAGATGTTATGCTGTTTCCAATCGACACAATAAAAACCCGGCTACAAAGTGAGAAACGATTCTGGCGAGCCGGTGGATTCCGTGGCATTTACAATGGATTGAGTCCAGCTGCAGCGGGTTCAGTGCCGTCGGCTGCCTTATTCTTCTGTACATACGAAAGCATGAAAAAACTCTTGGCACCATACGCACACGGCCAACAAACGCATTTTGTGCACATGTCATCGGCAGCAATAGCCGAAGTGGTGGCATGTTTAGTTCGTGTTCCCGTCGAAATCGCGAAGCAACGTCGTCAAGTGCAAAGCACACAGTACAGACATGTTTCTGCATCAAAAATTTTAGTTCAAGCCTATCAGACGGAAGGTATTTTCCGTGGACTGTATCGAGGCTTCGGAGCGACAATTCTTCGTGAAATTCCATTCTCATTCATCCAGTATCCACTGTGGGAGTACCTAAAATTGCATTGGACTAGCGTTACACATTTACCATTGACTTTTGTATCGGTTGCGGTTTGTGGAGCGATTGCCGGCGGAATTGCAGGTAAAATTCCAAATCACCATGACATGAACTTAAAACAACAGTATAAAGAAATTGCTGATTGAAATGTGTTCTTCCATTTTTAGCCGGTGTTACCACTCCGTTGGATGTAGTCAAAACACGAATTATGTTGGCCACACGAAATGGTGAGAAACGAAAAGGTGTTCACAGCATTCTGCATGGTATCTACAAGGAAAATGGCATAAAAGGTGTTTTTGCTGGCTTCATACCACGAGTTATGTGGATCACCATCGGTGGTGCCATATTTTTCGGCAGTTACGACTTAACCACCAAAATTGTCACAAAACATCTGTTTTAATGCAAAGCAAAGCAAACCTATTCAATCCTCTTTCTTATGTTGTTGATGATATTAGTGAGTTTTAGTGATCTTTTAGACTATTGAATGTAATTATCCATAGATGGAATATGTAAATAAAACAAATAATTGCATTATGACATATCAAGACGACTTTAATTTCAAACTTACGTTTACAGAGGATACATAGTTAAAAACAAATTGTGATGATCGATACATTACAACCCGGTTGAATAAATTATTTTTAAAATTATGTTCATTTATCTAAAATTTTGTTTCTTATTACGAGATCTTTTCCGTCATGTTCTATGCTTTCGAATGGCCATTTCCGATTAACGCGACAAACGGTGCCACATTTTGTGCTTTTACAATTTGGACACGGAAAATGACAGCCGGGGCAGGTGTTGTCTAGGCAATCACAAATATCGGCGCCATTTGATCGATACCTTCCTTTTTCGTCGAACATTGACTGTGGACCGCGTTGCGCTTGATTTGATTCCGCATAGCTTTTCCGTGTTAATTTTCGTTTTTCTCGTGCCGATTTTTCCGGATCGAAATCGGACAGTTTTGAATCGGCGACCAACTGACGGATTCTTCGAACAGCCATTCTATCTCCATTGTATTTACTCATTTTTTTTAAATTATTGCAACAGCAGTCGAACACTCCTTCCAATAATGGTTTACAATGTACTTTTTTTCAGCTCGTTTACAAAATTAAATCCAATAAACAATGTTTATGTTGTTATTTGATGCTTTTCCATCGATTTAGAGTTTAATGACACTTGTGTATCTATACTTCAATTGAGTGATGATAGATAGATAATCTTGTACACCGCTAGAGGGCTAAAATCGTAATTTCATTTCGAACAATCGTTTTCGGATTTTGGAATGTGTTTAAAAAACAAACAACGAAGAAGAAGAAACAGAAATTTTAATCTATTCAAAAAGTATCATCGAACACTTGTTTCATGCCATTCAAAAATATCAAATGAAAAAATCTGATTTACAACGATTTTCAATCGAGACGTTTTTATTTTGAACGGAATTTCGAAAAACGAATGGCGCTAGTTGTGTTACGAAACATAATTCGTATGCCAGAAACATCAACAAATACGCATGAAATGAGCAGTATACATGCAAAACGAAACAACAATGACGACACAAGATACGCACGAACACATACTCATGCACGAACGAACGAACGAATAGACACATAGACACACACACGCACACATGCCCACATCGCGTAT